TCACCTCAAGCAAGCGATTCGCCGGGAATAGGCCAAAATTTCGTAGAGCAACATTTGGGCAGCGTGATTTATTGTTCGTTTGAAGGCCATAATTTGTGCCAAAGGTGACCAATTCGAACAAATCTAAACTTATTCTAAAATTTGATGCTATTCCCGACATTTTTTGCTTTCCTTCAATAAAATTAAAAAAAAAAAAACGAGTAAAAAAACTGTAATTTCGGCCGGGCCGATTTTTGAATACCCTCCACCATATGGAACGATTTTGGAAATTTTCAAAAAAATAAAATCCGTTAAAAATTCTGTTAAAATTTTAAAAATACCGAAAGTGGACCTGCATTTGCAACTTTTGTCATAAGCCATTAGAATATTCAAATGCGAAACTGCGAATAAAAAAAAAACCGGTGAATAATGTAGCTAAAATCATCAAAATACCGAATATCGGAGGGTACCGTTATATGGGGGATATACGAAGACGTGGCCCTGGACAGACAATTTTCCATCTTAGGCTGTAGTAATCATTACGAACTTCAAATACCAAATTTGAAACAATTCCCGTGAATAATGTCGCTAAAATCATCAAAATACCGAATATCGGGGGGTTCCGTTATATGGGGCTATACGAAGACGTGGACCTGCACAAACAATTGTCTGTCATAGGCTGTAGTATTCATTACGATTTTCAAACACCAAATTTGAAACAATTCCGGCGAATAATGTCGCTAATATTATCAAAATACCAAATACCGTTATATGGGGCTTTACGAAGACATGGACCTGCACAGACAATTTTATGTTATAGGCTGTAGTACCCGTTACGAACTTCAAATGACAAATTTGAAACAATTCCGGTGAATAATGTCGCTAAAATCATCAAAATACCGAATGAATACTACAGTCTAAGATAGAAAATTGTCTGTGCAAGTCCATTTCTTCGTATAGCCCCCATATAACGGTACCTCCCTATATTCGGTATTTTGATGATTTTAGCGACATTATTCACCGGAATTGTTTGAAAATTGGTATTTGAAGTGCGTAATGAATACTACAGTCTGTGACAGAAAATTGTCTGTGCGGGTCCAGGTCTTCGTATAGGCCCCATATATCAGTACCTCCCCATATTCGGTATTTTGACGATTTTAGGTACAATACCCACCGAAATTGTTTGAAATGTGGTATTTGAAGTTCGTAATGGATGCTACAGCCTGTGACAGAAAACTGTCTATGCTGGTCCAGGTCTTTGCACAGCTCCAATTTAACGGCACCTCCTTATATACGATATTTTGATGATTTTAGCTACATTATTTACCGTTTATTTCAAGTTTCCAATTTGAATATGGTAATGGCTTATGACAAACAATGCCTATGTATGTCCACGTTGTATAGACCCCAATATGACGGCTATATTCGGTATTTTTAAAATTTTAACAGAATTTTTTAAGGGTTTTATTTTTTAAAAATTTCCAAATTCGTTGCAAATGGTGGAGGGTATTAAAAGTTCGACCCGGCCGAACTTAGTGCTTTTTAACTTGTTCATTATATCTTTGTTGTTCTTAGTAACTAGGTACTTCCCCTAAAACATTATTTACATGGGTCCATTATTAGCTATAGCCTCAACGTTCATGTAACGATAACTCTACCTATTAAATAGATGGCGATCGATTTTAAAGAATTTTTTTATATTTAACCAAATTTGTGTTACATAAACTACACAAAACATTTCTTCTTCATCTATTTTATTTCTTATTTTATAGCTTCACAGCCAACAACATCAACATCGTCTGTTTTCGAAAACTTATTAAACACACCACGTATCGATTTGCATTTGAATTAGCAGTCAATCTTTTTCTATGCCTTCAGCTATCTGCATGCCATGGAAACGTAACTCGTCTCTAAGACTACAACAATAGAAATGGATTTATTTAATGTTTTTGCTGTTGTTGCTTCTTATTGTTGCTGTTATTGTTTTATAAATTTATAACATTAATTCTATAAAATGTGTTTAACTCTTCACCTACACTTGTTAGTAAATCTGACAGTCGCTCAGTCGTAAATCCCCAATGTTTGCTTTGATGATGCCACTGATGAGGCCTCACGATGATGTCGCTGTGGTTGTGTGTGTGTGTGTGTGTGTGTGCATTCGAGCAGCCACGTTCTCGTCGTTTGCCTGTCTAGCATGGCATGGCTGTTGGCCAATCCCAAAATATATCTGAAATGCATATTCTAAACATTTACATTTAAATTCAGTCGATCTTCGGGAATGTTTGTTTTTTTCTGATTTGTCCATAACAAATTGTTATGTATTTATTTGATAGAAACCATGTATCTTCAATAGATCTGGTATCAGCCAATAGAATTGCGATTTTCTCATATAGAAGAAAAAAGTTTATTAAATTAATGATGATTAATTTCGCATCATTATGGGAATCGCATTGCATTTACATTGGTGGAGAGATGATCGATTAAGTGAAGAATATTAAGTTAAACAGCATGGGTTTTATTTTATTTATTTGCCAATTTTATCAATGTTGCATTGTCAAGTTTTAAAGATAAGGATAGGATTTTTAGTGCAGAATATAATTGTTTTGCAAAAAGACTTTTTTTTGTTTGTTAAAGTATATGTAATCAGAGGTTAAAAAATATTAAAGTTAATTATAAAATATTGAAAATTAAATATTTCAATTAAAAATATTATCAGGAAATTTTGGCTGAGGTCTGAATAGGCGAATGGATAAAATGGGCCAAAACCATAATTATTGCCTGAGTTTACACCGCAGGTCATAATTATGGAAAGATTATTTTTATGAAACAAGAAATATAGGGCGGATAGGGCATTTTGTACTATTCACTATTTGACCAATAACCAGAAATTTTAAAAATGTTAGTACCATAACAGATTTTTCCTTCATGATATCGAAAAAATTGCCACATCGTTAGATTCTCTAAGTTTCTCCATCTTAATTGTTTAATTAATTAACCACATTAATTTTAATTATAATGTTCAAATTATTTTTTTAATAAAGTGTGAGGTTAACGATTGGACTTCTAGTTCTAAAAATACTTTTTCTTAGTAATAAATCTGTGGATGGAGTTATGTTAAGCCGTTCCTCGGTAGCCAAATATCTCGGTACCGACCTTTGCTAAAAATTAAATTGGAAAAGCAACATCGAAGAGCGAGCGAAGAGGGCTTTAATCGCACTTTATTCTTGCAAAAACTCAATTGGGAAGAGCTGTGGACTTAAGCCACCTATAATCAAATGGTAATATGAATCAGTTGTCCATCCAATTCTAACTTATGGAGGGCTAGTATGGTGGCACTATTTAGGGGAAACTATCTTCAGCAAAAGCATTGATAAAGGCCAAAGGGTTGCATCGTTACTAATTACAGGTGCATTTAGGAGCACACCCCAATTTGCACTAGACACTCTACTCAACTTTAACCCTTAAGTCTATTTGTAGAGGAACAGGCTGCTAGGTGTGCCCTGCGACTCAATGAACTTGGTCAGTCCTTTGGACACTCTGTTATTCTTAAGTATGTGGAGAATATAGGAGGTCGGGCTAGAGTCAGTGACTATATATCACCTATTCAAAGCTTCGAATCACTGGAACACCCCACCTTTAACGGTGTAGCCGCCTTTTTATCGGTGTAGCCGCCTATATCGATGATTCAAAGATGGAAAGTGGAACGGTAGCTGGGGTCGTCTGTGAATTTTTAAGTATCCGGAGATCCTTTGAATTAAACAACCACTGAAGCGTTTTTCAGGCTGAAATTTTCTGCCAGTAAAGCCATAGAACTGCTGGAAAATATAATCAATGAACTGGATAGACCCGTGGCTATATGCAGGGTGAGATAAAAAAAAACTGCAAAAAAGTCAAACGCAATAATTTTTCCTTTTTTTCATTTTATTGATTGAAAGCAAAAATGTCGGAAATAGCATCAAATTTTAGAATAAGTTTAGATTTGTTCGAATTGGTCACCTTTGCGTGCCTAAGTCTTCGGAACACCGAATATTATCGCGAAAATATTCTGGAGGGTATATTAAAGCCTTGGGTACACAAACCTTGTACCTTGGACATCGCAACAGAACTCGGCACCATTACCACCAAATTAGGTTCCTGCTTCATTTCCAGCACACAATGGCCACCAAAATCTCCGGATACCAATCTTCTGGACTACTGTGTCTGAAGTATTTTGGTAAGCAAGGATGGCACTGAAAAATACCAAAGTGTCGATCACTTCAAGCAAGCGCTTCGCCGGGAATGGGCCAAAATACCACAGGGCAACATTCGGGCAGCGTGTGACGGTTTCATTGGCCGTTTGAAGGCCATAATTCGTGCCAAAGGTGACTGATTCGAGCAAATCTAAACATATTCTAAAATTTGATGCTTTTTCCAACATTTTTTTCTTTCATTCAATAAAAATTAAAAATTGTAAAAATTATGGCCTTTGACTTTGTTGCACCCTGTAAGTGCGCTGAGCTGGAGCAATAACCCACAAAACAAAGAAAAAATTGATTATATTAAACCTGGAAATCCGACAATTTGTCTGCTGGTACACGGCAGCATTTCTAGCAAGGTTAAAACTTCCGGAGGATAAGTTGTATTCTAAAGTAGTTTTCTTGATGATTATTTTTTATAAATATGCATTAAAAACTATGCGCCAGACCCATACTAGTTTATAAATATATATGAATATTATTTACTTTAGTCGATATATTTCCGTTTGCCCAAAAGAACTTGGATAAAAGACAGACAATTTACAAAATTTCATAATGAATAAAAAATAAAAATAGGTGAAAGAACTCTAGCCATGACCATATTTGTTCTTAATAAACAAAGAGATCCCATAATATTATGTAAATCACTTTAACCCAAATACAGATCTCAACAAATCAGCAAATAAATATTTATATTTAACCACTGACCTAGAAAAATTCCGCTATAAAAGAACAACTTTCTTTAGGGAGCACATCAGTATTATTTAAATATCGAAAAATAAACTATACAAACAATTTACGGATATCTTCGAAAATGTTCAAATTCGTAAGTGTGCCTAATTAATAATGTAAAATAAACTTGGTTTTTTTAATGTTTTGTCACCTGCAGTTAGTATTTGTCACGTTATTGGCTGTGGCCTCAGCTGCTGTTGCCAGAATCAAAATAGAAGAAAAAGAAGTTGTACCCATTCTAAATCAGGGTGAAGAGAAAAATTCAGATGGTTCATTCACGTACTACTATGAGGGTGCCGATGGTGCCAAACGTCAGGAAATGGGCTTTGTCAATAATGCCGGTACCGAAGAGGAAGCCTTGGTCGTCAAGGGCTCCTACCGTTACATTGATGCCAATGGCCAGGAAGTTCTCGTTGAATACATTGCCGATGAGAATGGTTTCCAACCACAGGGCACCATCATTCCCAAAGAAATTTCCCAAGCTGCTGCTGAAGCTGCCGTAGTGTCTAACATTCAAAAAACTCAATTGTTGCTAGAGAAGAAGAATTAAATAAACGAAACCAGTATTGATTGATATTTATGAAGTTGATATTTTAAATATTTTTTTTTTTGCTATTCAGCAACAATTTGGATACAGGCAAATTAGTATTTATTGATTCAAATGACCAAAATGTCAAAACCATTACAGCGGGCACACTTTGAGGATGTCGGCAACGAGAAGTTGTTGGTGGCTTTTTGACTAATGTCTATGACATTCATGAATGAATGAATGCGGATGATGATAAGTATGTTAAAGTACCCTACATTTTTATATTGGGATGCGATCATGAATCGGATGGTTTTGAACATAAAATTATAACAGAAAAAAGCTGTAGCCATTGGGAACGAATTTGGCAATTTTCAAAAAAAAAAAAAAAAACCGTTGAAACTGTTGAATGTAGCTGTTATGTTAGGATCTATGCGACGACTTGGACCTGCAACAGACAATTTTCTGTCATAGGCTGTAGTATTCATTATGAACTTCAAATACCAAATTTGAAATAATTCCGGTGAATAATGTCGCTGAAATCATCAAAATGCCGAATATCGGGAGGTACCGTTATATGGGGGTACGAAGACGTGAACCTGTACAGACAATTTTCTGTCTTAGACTGTAGTATCCATTACGAACTTCAATTACTAAATTTGAAACATTTCCGGTTAATAATGTCGCTTAAATCACCAATATACCGAAAATAGGGAGGGACCACTGTATGGTGGCTATACCAAAACGTGGACATTTTAGTAAAATTTCGTCAATCTACTTCATTTTGTTCCGAAGTTAGAGTGATTTCAACAGACGGACGGACATTGCTACATCGATATAGAATTTTATACTGATGGAGAATACATATACTTTGTGGGGTCTATAATGTATATTTCGAGGTGTTACAAACTTAATATACACTCCATAGTATGCTGGAGGGTATACAAATCATATACGTCGTGAGAGTATTGATTCATGAGATCCTCAGTATTAGAATTATCATCGAACCTTTCGAAGTCGTTTAAAGGGCTTCTGGTGACGAACGATACATTACTTTTTGAGTGAAGGAATGTGGAAAATGAAATAAGTGCACAGTTCGATAATGATGAGACTTCCAGCTAGACTTTCAGTTAGAGTATTGAGCATAGTTCAAAATATGAATTTGTAGTCACTTTATATGGATATTTAATGTAACTCAAATGGCCAAAAGTCTAATAGTGGACTTTAATGCAAATTTTATGACAAAAAGAATTACATCTTAGAAAATGCTTTTGAGACCTTCAGAATACCTTAAATCACCAAGTGATGTTGGAACTATGCTTCATAGAAAAACAGTATTAAACGACTACTCTCGAAAAACATTTACTGAAAACCTTAGATGTCAAATAAGGGCTAATTTGGTGGACAACTTTTAGGAAATGACACTAATTGGGGAGCTATACCGAAACATGGATCAATATTTTCCATTTTTATATCCTCAGACATACGGCTACAGAGGTACGTTTAAAACGTACCTCATTGAAATAATGGGTCTTTTTGGATCAAATAGGTTTCCGGATATTTGGAGTCAATCTAGGGGTGTCCGTACGTCCGACTGTGGCTGATGCGCACGACAACTCTTGAAGGGAGTTTTAATAATTATATCTCTCAGAATATCTCAGATTTTTACATATTCCAATATTTTTATTAATGCAATATTTGGTGTGAAGGTGGGATGTATCTGCCTATTCCTTCTGGTACCTGCCCCACAACGGGTCAAAATTTTGAATAATTATATCTTCTATATTTATAAAAGAGGAAAATGTTTTTTTGTTGTTTGTAATTTATAGACCCAAAAACTGCTGAACAGATTAACCTGAACATTTCCACATATTCCACACTTTTGAAATTGCACTTGGAACTGGAGATATAGCATCAGAATCGGAGGTAGCTCCAAAAAATTTAGTTTTTGTATGGACATATCTGTTGATCGGTTATAGATTCTGGATTCAAGTTTAGAATGTTAGACGGAATTCGATACAAAAATTAATTTTCCAAATTATAATGAAATTGGGTCTGATTTGGATATAGCTCCCCTATATATTTTTGTGCCGATTTCGTGTACTTGATGGACAAAACACGATATGTATCTCCAATTTCAATGACATTTAGAATGTGCAAGGAATTTTGATACAAAAATTAAGTTTTCAAATTATATTGAAATCGGTTTAGATTTGAATATATTTTTGGCCGATTTCATATATTTGATGCACCAACACGCTACGAACTGCCAATTTCAATAAAATTTGAAATATACTACGGAATTTGGAACAAAAATCAATTTACCAAATTATATTGAAATCAGTTGAGGTTTGAATGTAGTTCCCATAAACATTTTCGGCCGATTTCAGGTATTTAATACACCAAACACAATATGTATCCCCAGTTTCAATGAAGTCTGGAATTTGTGACGGAATTTGGTTTAAAAATTAATTTTGTCAACTTGTATTGAAAGTGGTCTTATTTCATCAAGACCCAAAACTAGGCTAACAGTAAAAAAACTACACATATTTTTTGAGGCTACGATTATTATGTTCCTCGAATCCCTCTAATAGCAACAAACACGCCGTTCAGATAGCAGTTGCAGAAATGGTTCGAAAAGTAAAGAAGCGACTTGATCGAAACCCGCGTCGCTGTGGGCGATAAATGACTCGAGAGCTGAACATATCACAATATTCCATTCGGATAATATTGAAGAATGAGTTTGCTGTAAAGCCATTGAAATTCCAAAAAGAGCAAGAACTTACACCGCAACAGAAAGAAAATAGACTCAAAAGAGCTAAAGAGTTTCTTCGCTTGGCCGAAAGTGGTAAACTGCCGAATTTGTTTTCCTCCGATGAGAAAACATTCGTTGTCCAGCTGTTTGTAAACAAACAAAATGATCGTGTTTACTTGCCAAAGAGGTCAGCTGAAAATGTACACCTTAGGTTGGCCACCAGAACTCAAGCGCCGGCCATGATGATGGCGTGGGCCGCCATAACAGCCGATGGTCGCTCTCCGCTCGTATTAATCGACCGTGGCATAAGAATAAATGCCGCGAAAATATTGTGGAGGATGTATTAAAGCCTTGGACACGCAAACATTTTGGCCGCAGACCTTGGACATTCCAACAGGACTCAGCACTATCACACTCAGCACGCGCCACCCAAGACTTGTTACAAAATGATGTTCCTCGCTTCATTTCCAGCGCACAATACCCACCAAAGTCTCAGTATACCAATCCGTTGGACATAATAGTCTGGAGTATTTTGAAAATCAAGGTTGGCACTAAAAATACCAAAGTGTCGATCACCTCAAGCAAGCGCTTCGCCGGGAATGGGACAAAAAACTCCTACTCTTAGAGCAATCCTGCCTGTATGTGTCGGTTTAACTCGGACTGATTTAGGTTAATCGATGGTACGCAGTTTGTTGTAGTCGACCTGAAAATACTTGGGCTGATGAAGTCTTTTTGATGATGCTCGAATTGATGTTTTCGGGTTGATAAAATCGGCATAAGTATATTTGCTTAATAGTTGGGTTGATGGCACTCAGGTGGTCAAAGTCCACACGGGTTTTTGCACAATGAAACTAGCGTGGTAGCAGTCAGACCGATAAGGGTCTTCCAACTTAACCTCTTCCGAAATGAGCGAATACAGGTAGGCAACAAGTAGCGGTGATTAAAAGTAAACGACTTATATATCTGTCTGTATGCAGGAAATGAATGCAATATAGCTCAAAATTCCTCTGCCCTCATGTAATAGTACCTTGTATTTTATCACGATTTAAACCAAATTTTTGAATAGAATTGTCTAAAATTCGGTATTTGAAGTTCGCTACTTTGAAAAATTGATGTAACGCTGGAATACCTGATATAACGTCCTTCCTTTCTTAATAAAAAAGGACATAAAAAGTTCCCCTCAGCTGATCTTAACGGCTTCGTACATGGTTGTCACAAAGTTTTCCAAAGATTTATTTTTTTATGCATTTAAGTATTACTACCAGTGGAATGAATCGAATATAACATGTAAACCACCCGATATATGTGTTTAATGAGGAATATGATTCTTTTATAGCGACTCTATTAGCCTACCAACTCCAACATTTGAATCGAATACAAACAATCCCTAATAGTTTGGCTCTTGGTGTTTTACAACAAATAACAAGTGTAATAAAATATAACACCTAAAGCCTTTTAAATATTTAGCTCTCCTCCTCATCTTCATCATCGTCATTATCACCGACAGCACAAGACACTTTACACCGGGAAACACCTTCGAATTTCGAAAAAGGCACGAGGGTGCTTGGAAGCGATGTTATTCATTTATCTGCCTTGTATCGCTGCTGTAGTTTTACTGTAATTGTTGTTCCCATTGCTTTTGTTATTGCTGTTGGAGTAATTTCGTGGGCCGTAATAAATTGGCAAAAGTTTGTGCTCATCACAGAGCATTTAATTCTAAGAGTACGACAAGAAAAAATTTTAATTTTCGTCTCTACACAGATAGGTATTTTGTTAAATATTTGAACTTTGAATTGACTTCATTGCGGCAAGACATTTGTTTAATTTCGTCCGAATGGAGAATTTAAATTTTGAAGAAATATCAACACGATTTGAATATTCTCGACATCATCATCTTGATGGCCAACTTTTACATGTTAATAACGTGAAATGTCTGTAAATGACTACGATTTGGGGATAAAGATAATGGCAAATGAATGAGAAGATGATTATTCACAATTTCTAGAACAAAGAACTGATGTTCTAGGGTGTGGTTTCTTAAATAGAAAATGTTGTATAATTACAATATTTAAAAATAAAAATGTGAGATTTTTGATTTATTTATTATTTTGTAGCCTACATTCCAGAACATCTCAGAATACATGTTAGCTGTTAGAAAATTTAAGTAGGTCATCCCTGGGCCACATATATAAATTCAGTGAGATCATTCCGAATATTGATTTTTAAATATTACAGTCCCATATCGGTACTTCAATATTTTTTAGGATTT